AGAGTGCCGTCAACTTGGGTTCAATAAGGCTGAATTAAAGTGTCACTACTGTCAGCCGCTGCTTGAACACACAGGCAGTGAGGGACTGCATGGAGAGTGTCTCGCCTGCTGCGCCGCCGAAGATCAGACACCGCAGCGCACCTACGCCCGCGCTCGCATTGAGCAAAGGGGTATTTCTTATCTCGTCGAGGAGACACGTAGTGAACTTGGCATGTTTTACAAGGCATATAAGAATAAATTTGGGAACCGTCTTCGGTTAGTCGAAAAGTTCTCGTTTTACGGGCCGCGTCTTGTGCTAGAGGACGGTAATGGTGGAGAGGATTTTGAGATTGGCATCACGGGTTGGACGAAGGACACTTTGCACGACTACTTGGTGCAGGCACTGGGCATGCAGCCAAAAAAGGAATAATGAAAACTTGGGAAAACCCATCAGTTCTTTTCTTTGTCTCTTTGCTTTTCGTTGTTTTTCTTTCGCTTGCCTGTTTTTTTTTTTTTTTTTTTTTACAGCAACTTTGAGGCGGAGTCATGTCTTTTACTTTCTTTTTTTTTTTTTTTTTTTTTTTTTTCTTTACTTCTCTCAATTTTTTGTCTTTTTCGGTGGTGGGAGCGGAGGGGGGGGGGGGAGAAAAAAAGACCTCTTGACTTTTTGATTCATTTACTTTAGGGAATAGGAGTACGACGTAGCAACGCCGTCTTTTTGTCACGCTGCAGTGTAATTGAAAATCAACGACATCGTCTTTCGCAAAAAAAAAAAAGTAAACAAAAGAAAAAGGTAAAATCTAAAGATACACACTTATAAAATACTTCAAATATATTAATACCAAATGATGCGTCGTTCCCTCTTTCAGGGAGTTTACACCCTTTGTTTGCGTGGCACCGCGCGGTCGTACACGGACGCCAGAACAATTCGTAAACCGTGCCAATTCGATCAGATAGTCGACGCCCAGAATGAAAAATACATAGAGGGCATGTTAAAACAGTATGAGAGGGATCCCACGTTAGTGGCGCCAAGTTGGGTTCCGGTGCTGGAGAATCTGGGAAAGGCGCCTCTTGAAATGCCTCTTGTGTCCAATTTTCATCGTCCCACCTCGGTAGAGACGCTGACAGAAAGAGAGCGACTTCAAAACATGAGTCTCTCATGGATGATTCTGGCATACGAAAAGAATGGACATTACATCGCGAATACAAACCCCCTCAAATACGTAGATGGAGTAGAGTCGCAGGTTTTTCATCCATCAACTCTGGATCCGTCAAGTTTTGGTTTTACGGAGGAAGACCTTGAGCGGGTGTTTTATGTCAACTTTGGATGCGATTTTGAGGCCATATTTGTGAGCGGAGATACAGGGCGGAAATTAAAAGAAATTGTGGCGCAGTTGCGTCGCATGTACTGTGGCTCCATTGGATTTGAATTTATGTCCTCTGGTTATTTTGACCTTCGTAACTGGTTTCGTCATCAAATTCTGAATACTTTGAATCCACTTGAACGGCAAGATCGTCTTGCCATATTTGATGATGTTGTGCGCAGCTGTGGATTTGAGCATTTTTTAAACATGAAGTACGGAAATCAGCAGCGTTTTGGCCTTGATGGTGGAGAAGCACTGATTCCAGCCATGAGGGCGATAATACAAACGGCAAATGACAATGAA